TGAAAATAAAACAGTTAAGAACTTCATTGAACAAATAGCAAGTATAAACATAAGAACTAACATAATATACAGAATAAATCAACATTTTTACAGCCAGGGCTGCTAATTATGTAAATACATAAAAAAAAGAAGAAAGTTAAAGTGAGAGTGTGTATTCTTTCTGCCGATAGGGGGCAGTAGATACCTAAATTGTTGCAAGCAAGCAGTATTTTTGCGTCTGAGTAAGACCTTAACAACAGATGGGTCAAAAACTCCGTGGAGTGTTAACTTTAGCAAAATACGAGCACATCAGACTCCCTTTCATCACTGGCAAAAGTGAAGAGGTGAATGTGTAAAACAACAACTTTTAAGAATGACGAAAGTTTTGTAACCGTTACAAATCAGTAAATGCATCTTGTCCTCATGGGCTCCCGTAGAAGGAAACATGGCATATAATATGGCAGTGCTGTTACACCCCCCAGCGTCCACTGGGGGCGTCTACTTGTCCATGTCTATGGCCTGGAATAGCACACAGTAGTACATTTTCTACAAAAGGCTTGGGGTTATAAACCCAGAAACAGTAGGTGGCAGCATGCAGCTTAAAGAGCAAGTAATGCCTAAATTAACTTTTTTTTGCTGATAACCTGTATCGATGAGTGTCTAATGGTGCTGTACACATGTGTAATCATTAGTGTGGCAGTTTAGTGCAACTTACTTTAAATTTAATATTTCAGCCCAAAACCATAATTACATCTCCGTCTTCAGGTGAAAAACTCTGCTCCACATTTATGTAGAACCAGCTGTGGCTGATGGCTAAGCTGAAAAACGTGACGTTATCAGCAAATTACTGCGTGGCTGCACTGCACTGGTCTCTGGGTGAGGCAGCCGCACCCCCACCTGGCTCAGCCACTCACCTGCTGATGTGACACGTTGGCTCTCTGAGCTGCTCGCCTCCTTGAAAAAAAATGCCCTTCATCCAGGAAGTGTGGATGAAGCACGTCTCCACCCATGCATCGACCCTCACTTTAAACAGTGGTTTCTAGCCCAAGGCCTGCAGAATTTTTGTGTATTATTTTTATTTTATTTTTTCATATTGAAATAAAAAGTATGTGGAGTTCTGGTACCAGTCCCCCAACCCAGCACCTAAGTGAGAGTGCTCGATATCTTCTTATTAGAGATATCCCATTCACCAATGCCTCATTGACTGACATCCTTAGCGGTGAGCATGGACGTAATTTTCACTTTAGAAGTGGGGGTGACACGGGGGGGGATCTTTACAGTATGCTCTAATGGGAAACAGGCTTCAACACAAACAGTTGTTTTCCGCTTGGTCCTAGAGCTCAACCAGTGTCAATCATTTTCCGGAACTGCGTTGCTCTGGCCGGCTACATGACTTGATTATTATTATTATTCTGAGCTACTACAGCAATCAATTTCCCTCTGGGATTAATAAAGTATTTTTGAATTGAATTGAAATGAATTGAATTGAATTGAATATAGCGTAATATTGTTTTTGGATGGTAAAAAGTGCAGGGGTCAAAACTTGACTTTGAACATAGTGGGGGGGACATGCCCCCCCAAATTACGTCCATGGCAGTGAGTACGTCACGTTGTTTGTTGTCCAATAGCATGTGGAGACATTTTGGAAGACAGATTAATCAATTTCCCTCTGGGATTAATAAAGTATTTTTGAGATCCTGCTCCATGACCGACCTTTGGGTCGTGGCCAGACGACATATTCACATGAATAGGATGGCTTGCCAGGCTACACATAAACTCTAGCTGAGTGAAAATAACTGCCATTACAGATAAACCGTCTCCAGTATTGCCTTGTCGTTAGTAAATATCATTTATTTTTCACCCGATGGGTCTCAGTCCACCCCTTCTCCTACGTGTAACACTAATGAGCCCATCCCTGCTCCAACAGTTGGATTGAGAGCACATCCGGTTCCTGAATCTAGTCACAACACACTCATATAGATTGTTGAATTGGTTAGGGTTAGAGTAAAGATTTCTGTCAGCATTGAACCTTCACTTGATCACGATCCTCCATCTCGAGCAGCACAGGGCATCAGTGGAAAGAAAAATCTGTTTGAGGAGGAAGAAACCTCCAGCTGAACCAGACTTTGAGCAATAACCAGGATGGGTCTCCTGTCTGGGCTCGAGTGCTGCTCTGGAATCTTAAACATGCTTGTATTTGTTAATTGAAAAAGGACCACTGGTGAACTGGCAGGAATCGGGTTCATTAGTTTGTTTTTCACTGCGACGTTTGGTTTCAGCTTGATCGGGGTTTTCTTCAAGAGCTGTGACTCCTAACACCAGCCAGTGAGTCAGCGACGTGGATTTCCAGGACGAGGACTCGGATGTTCAGTGTGATGAGACACGCTACGACATGCCGGATCAATTAGATCATTGGGCAGGTTTCTGTGAGATTGACTATGAATGACTTGACATGAGTCACCAGTTACGGGATGTGTAACATCAGCAGGAGTTTAGAGGAACCGTGATCTAAACTCTGAGCTGGAGTCAGTTTATGGTCATGTGACCGAGCAGATGAGAAAACCAGATGTTAACTCTGAAGACCCAAGCAAACCAGAAATCCTGATTCTAAAAGCAATCCTCACATACGTTACTGACTCTAGGAGGATGATCTCCTCTGAGTGGTCTCTTCACGCCAACCGAAGATGGGATCTGACGGGCTCAGCTAAAGCTTCATTGTCTCTGACATCAGTCTCACTTACTGGGACACAAAAGCCGCCTTACCTTCAGTGGTGATGCTCCACGCAGACATCCACGCTGCCATGCACAGCACAGTTTTCCCAGCTTCCATGGCGAAAAACAATGTTCTCTGTCCGCGTGCTGGGGAAACGTTTTTGTTCTGTTTCTGTTTAACAGGGAGGGAGTGTGGGAGCTGCAGCGGGGTGGGCCTGGGGGACTGTTCAGGGTTCTGCCTCGGCCCGCCTGCTGATCCCTCATGCCTGCTTCCAAACCCCCCCCCCCCCCCCCCCCCCTTCCCCCTGAGATGGGGGAGTTGAATTCCTCCCTCCTTTACCACAGCACACATTAACCAGCATGAGCACCGTCCGATTACATCAGCGTGAGTGTTATACTGGTATGACCTGCAGCCTGAGAAGAATTCCTTCACAAGGCAGAAATTAAAACAAGCCGTTCTGTTTTGAAACGAGTAAACAGAATTTTGCCTCGTTCCCTTGACAACGGGCCCGTGGCAGAGTTCAGACTCAGTACAGGCTACTGCGTCTCCTGTGGATTCAGTTGTGTTATGTAAGAAAACGTTTCAATAACTGTGAGCAGCTTAGCAAGAAATTAGGCAGTAAAATGTTCATGAAGCAGCCGAGTGGAGTAACAGCAAAACAAATCATCTTCGTGTCCTTTAGTTTTGTGAGGGAACGCTCACAGACACCATCTCCATCCATCCCTGATTTTCCAGGTCAGTGGATTAAACAGTGATCCCCAGAACTTCCTTTCCTCCAGCTACCTTGTCCAGCTCATCTGCAGGGACTCCAAGCAGCTCCCAGACCAGCTGAGGGATGGGTCTTCTCCTGGATCTTCTCTGAGATCTCCTGGAGGGACGTGTATGAATCACCTCCTTCAGAAGGTTGTGTTTAACAAATGCTCAAACTCAACTGGCAACTCTGTTTATGTTTATGTATTTAGCAGACGCTTTTGTCCAAAGCGACTTACAAGTGATAATCGGCATGTTGCCCTTGAGGCTAACAACAACAACATTGACATCAGTCATGGAGAGGAGGGAACAAGGAGTGGACAGTAGAGAGGGGGACGGGTGCAGGGAGGGTGCTAGTTAAGAAGATGCTCTCTGAAGAGCAGGGTCTTCAGGAGTTTCTTGAAAATTGAAAAGGAAGCCCCTGTTCTGGTAGTGCTTGGAAGGTCATTCCACATTTGTGGAACGATGCATGAGAAGAGTCTGGATTGTCCTGAGCGTGGTGTAGGCACTGCTAGCCGACGATCCTGTGATGACCGGAGCGGCCGGGCCGAGACGTAAGCCTTTGCAAGAGGATTCAGGTAGATGGGAGCCGTATCATCTCGGACTTTGTATGCTAGTATTAGCCATTTGAATTTGATGGGTGCTGCTAGCGGTAGCCAGCGGAGCTCAATAAACAGAGGGGTGACTCTGAGCTCCTCTACCAGTGAGAGGGGTCCAGTTAATTGTGTTTGGAATGCATCTCCATCTATTTGCATTTTAAAAACCAGCTCAGTGGCCTAGTGGTATGAGTGTCCGCCCTGGGAGATGTGGGTTCAAAATCCAGTCGGATCATACCAAAGACTGAACAAATGAGACCCAACGCCTCTCTGCTTCACACGGTTCCCGAGCACGGCTGTGTCTGCAGCTCGCTTCTCCCCCAGGGGATGGGTCACATGCGGAGAACAAATGTCACACACCAGTGTGTGACCACCAGTGGGACTATAACTTTAAAAGGAGGTGGCCTTTTTCTTGCCAGCGCTCCCTCTCCACACCATAACAAGGTTTCGAGCTAACGCTAACTATATGCACAAATATAAGACTGCTTCTGATCTTGAATTTACTCCTACATGTTTAAATGAGAACATTAGCAATGATTTGCCACAAAGTGATGCTTTTACTCCAACAGTACCGAGATAGTGAGGTCACAGGTGAAACAAAATGGAAATTTCCACAGCGTTCCCTCATTCTGACCATCATCCACCCCAGATCAAATGTATTAAACCCAAAACAATCCAAAGTTAGAATAGTTACACACACACACACACACACACACACACACACACACACACACACACACACACACACAAACGGATGGTGATGACCTACATTGTAGCCACAGCTTCCCTGAGGCTCACTGACGGATGCGAGGCCGCCACACCATTAGCGCCATTGCTTCCTTCGACCACAACCAACAGGTAGATGATGTGTTTTCTCAAAGAGCATAGATCCTATCTCGTATTCCACCTTTTGGATCGTTGTTAAAGAATGTTGCAAAGGAATTTCCACACCTGGTTGCTGAAAATGTTGCACATGACACCAACCAACAGTGTCAAGTGATGTTCTCTGAAGCAGCACTGCTGTTCTCTTCGTATTGTGTTATAAGTCCTGAAATACGACCGTCAGAGAAGTTACTCGATCATAAATGGGTAAAAAAGGAGAAAGGAAACACAAAAAGGTGAAGTGTTGCTGATGCAAATGATTGTGTATCGTGTGTATTATTGGGCTGCGTGTATCGTTTTAACAGGTGTTACAGAAATAATTTCAGAAGCAGGCATGTCTGGAGGCTGCTGTGTCCTCACATGACCTCATCATCCAGGTTTTCTGAAGGGCTATGACCTCTGTAGACTGCTTTCTTAGTTGCTATAGGTAACAGTATGGGTGTGTGCCTGTGTGATGAAGGGTATGTCAGGAAGAAGATCTTTTATACATAATTCATCATCTTTTTTTCTCAACCCCACCTTTGAAAGCTGTCATGATCAGCTCAGATGATTGAGGAGATCAATGGCATATAGATGTTTTACCTACCACCACCTATCTTAATGTTTACATACACTCTTTGTCCTGTATTATATAAAATTACTCATATCCTACATTTATAATTGTGACGCCAGACAGAACGAGGATGGGGAGACTGACTGGACGGTGTGCAATGATTCATCAACACTCCCTCTGTATTATCTACTAAGCACGCAGGGGTTAGACACCAAGTCTAACTGGACTCTTTGTGTTCTGACCGTTAGTCACCCTGCCTCTGTGGGTTCAGTTAACAATATCTGAAGCCTGCAACAAACCAGAGAAGCTGCAGGAGTAGTTATGGCACCAATGATTTAATTTTAAAAGTCTGTATCGCAGATATGATGGAGATGAAAAAAAGATGTAGCACAAAATCTAGAATATCTGGTGTCATCTACCATTTCATTCACTTGTGAGCCTCTCCGTGTTTCCTTTAGATTGGGGATGTGGCGATTAACCAATTTGTAGTCATTTATGAACATGCAATTCAGCCTCAAGGGGGCAGTGTCATATCAGTGTGATCATTTGGCCAGTTCCAATCCTTAAGTGCTGGGGTTGCTGCGGGACTGGCATTTGGCATAAAGCATAAACTGTGTGAATCGCAAGATAGATTACCATATGTGAAGAGCTAACGACGGCAGCATAACGACGGCAGCAACCGATGCCGTCCATCTACAGGGTCCTGGGAATTGGACCATGGTGTTAGTCAAAGAAAGATAGGTGGAAAGCGTTCCAGTAGACGGACAGAGTTAAATCTGGGATATTAGTACAGGGTAGGGCTGGGAGTAGGTAGTGTGAATGTTGGGACTATGATAGGAAAAGCCAGTGTGAGACAGCTGTGGGGAGTATAGAATAAATTAGGTTAATGGGATTATAACGTTGGCGTGTTTAAAGAGCAAGTCACCCCCTACCAGATTCTAACTCCACTCCCACTTCATGTTTGAAAAATGCAACAAATGCTGTCGCCAGGCAGACCGAGAGGGCGGAGCCGCTAACAAACACACACACACACACACAGACTCACGACAGCATTGTGACATCATAATGTACCAGTTTACATCATAGCATACCTCTTAGCCAATAGCGGTGGCAGATTTAAATTCAAATACGGTGCAGAGTTTTTACCTGACAACGGCACAACACTGCCAGTTTTAGGCAGAATATTTAAATTAGAACTAAGATGCACTGAAGTGACAAATTATTGACGACACGTGTCTGCAGCACGATTAGACACTCGTTTATTTAGTTTATCAGCAAAAAAAAGTTTATTTGGGGGTGACTTGCTCTTTAAATAAGACACAGCACCAGGAAGGTGTGGAAGTGCACCGGTTCGGCAAGGCCGACATCTGGATGGCCCAACAGTTGCTTTCAGTCCGAAGCGTGCTATTGGCAGAGGTTTTTAGTCAAATGCAAGCGAACGACTTTACTATTTTTTCTGCTATTTTTAAATCTCCACTAAATATATGAAGCTATACAATGTTAGAACATTGTAAAGATGTATGAAAAAATGGTACGCTCATTTGTTTTCCAAAGAGGGCTGCACAATGGCACGGTGGCCGACACTGATGCCTTGCAGCAAGAAGGTCCTGGGTTCAATCCCCAACCTGGGGTCTTTCTGCATGGAGTTAGATGGATTGTGATGCAAGGTGTGCTCCTGGACTCTAGAAGACCTGGGAACTGGTTTGTCAGGGGCAGCCCTGTTTTAGCTTTCTGGAATAAACACCTCTAACTAAACATAATTCCCCTTTCAAGGGGAAAAACGCACAAGGTGTCAGCACTTGACTTTGATTTTTACCTGAATAGATGTTCTGAGGAAATATTACAAAAGCAAGAAAGCATGTATTCATAAGCACCTTTTACAAAATAAAAACCAAAATGTGACTCATGGGAGCCAAAAGTTAAACTAAAACAATAATTCTTAATGACGCATTCATCATATTTACTTATATATCATATTTATTTATATATAAATAAACTTGGATAGAATTGAAAGTATTCAGACCCCCAACAATTTTTCACCATTTGTTGTACTGCAGCCATTTGCTGAAATCAATTAAATACATTTTCTCTCATCAATGTACACACAGAACCCCATTTTGACAGAAAAACATAACGTTAGAAATTTCTGCAGATTTATTAAAAAGACAAACTCAAATATCACATGATAAGTATTCACACCCTTTGCTTTGACACTCATATATTTAACTCAGGTGCTTTCCATTTCTTCTGATCATCCTTGACATGGTCCTACACCTTCATTGTTGTCCAGCTATGTTTGATGATACTGACTGGACTTGATTAGCAAAGTCACACACCTGTCGATATAAGACCTCCCAGCTCACAATGCATGCCAGAACAAATGAGAACCATGAGGTCACAGATCTGGCCGAGGTTACAGAAACATCTCTGCTGCACTTGAGGTTCCTAAGAGCCCAGTGGCCTCCATAATCCTTAAATGGAAGAAGTTTGGGACGACCAGAACCCTTCCTAGAAAAGGCCGTCTGGCCAAACTGAGCTACCGGGGGAGAAGAGCCTTGGTGAGAGAGGTGAAGAAGAACCCAAAGATCACTGTGGCTGAGCTCCAGAGATGCAGCAGTCAGGAGGTGGGAGAAAGTTGCAGAAAGTCAACCGTCACTGCAGCCCTCCACCAGTCAGGGCTTTGTGGCAGAGCGGCCCGTCGGAAGCCTCTCCTCTGTGCAAGACTCATGAAAGCCTGCATGGAGTTTGCTAAAGAAACCCGAAGGACCCTTAGATGGTGAGAAATAACATTCTCTGGTCTGATGAGACCAAGGCAGAACTTTTTGGCCTTAATTCTGCGGTGTGTGTGGAGAAAACCAGACACTCCTCATCACTTGTAAATTACAGGCCCCACAGTGAAGTATGGTGGTGGCAGCATCATGCTGTGGGGGGTGTTTATCAGCTGCAGGGACAGGACGACTGGTTGCAATTGAGGGAACGATGAATACGGCCAAGTACAGAGATATCCTGGACAAGAACCTTCTCCAGAGTGCTCAGGACCTCAGACTGGGCCGAAGGTTTACCTTCCAACATGACAACAACCCTAAACTCAGCTAAAATAACGGATTAGCGGCTTCATGACAACTCTGTGACTGTTCTTGAATGGTCCAGCCAGAGTTCTGGCTTAAACCCAATTCAGCATCTCTGGAGAGACCTAAAAATGGCCATCACCATCCAACCTGAAAGAAGTGGAGAGGATCCCCAAAGCCAGGTGTAAGAGACTTGTTGCATCTTTACCAAGAAGACTCACAGCTGTATTAGATAAAAAAGGTGCTTCTACTAAATGCCGAGTAAATGGTTTGAATACCTAGGACCACTGTGTACATTTATGATGAAAAAAATATTTAATTGATTTTAGCAAATGGCTGCACCATAACTGTTGTTGAGGGTGTTTGGATCCAAAGCAGGTGAGAGCAGGAGCACCTGTAGAAGGTTTAAAGTCTATTTAATTAGTGGTGATGTCAGGAACCAAGAATAACAAAAAGACCAGGCACAGGGACACACAGACGATCCAACACACAACACAAAACCGACAGGGCTGAAATGCAAGCGGGCACAGGTGATTAGGGAAGGAGGGGCAGGTGGGACCAATTAACATGAACAGGACACTAAAATCTAGCTGGGGAAACAGAATGTGACAACAACCAAGAGTGAACAATTGGTGGGGGTCTGATTAGTTTCCATTCCCACTGTATCTTCATACTTTCATTATTCACTAACCATCATTCATTAATCAACCCCCCATTCATTCATCTATAATCTTTCCATCCGTGGTATTTAAACCCTACCAGAACCTTGAGTTGGACCGTCCCCCTGTTGGATGGACTGTCCCATTTCACATTGCAGGGTCATACTGTTGGAACTAAAATAAACAGACTAATACACGGAGGTGTGTGCGTCACATTTTAACCACTTAAAGTCTTTGGTCTTACAGAAATGGGCCAGAGGTCAGCCCAAGGCTGCTGTCTGAGCTGCTGGGAGCCGCGATAAGCTGCTACACTAACCCCTCAGTATCGGAAGCAAGGGTCAGCTTTCAAAGTAAAATAGATCAGGATGTATTTCTTCTTTTGTTTTGGTTTTTACCTGCAGCTGTATGCTCATGGATTAACTAAACTTAATAATGTATTTTTATTCCCATTAAGACCACCAATACTAATACACTGTTTGAATTAGGGTGAGGGGTTTTAAATACAGATTTATACATTTACTGGGTGTCTAAGACGCAGCAATGAGGTCCTTAAAACCTTCACGTGCCTGCGGGATTTTTGGTAGAAGTCCAACTTGAACCGGACCGGTTCCGAGTCGCAGACCCGATATGAAGCTTTGAGTGAAAGGCTGAGCGGAAGTGGCGCTTCCCCATGCTGCTGTGTTCGGGTGGACTCGGTTGTTCTCGGCTGTGTTCGGGATGCTGTCAGGCCGAACCAACGCACTGAGCTAACGGACACAAATGGCTGCAGCATCTTTTGTTTTCCGACGCTTCATCTGAAGGTAAGAAGGTTCGGATGTGGTTCTGACCCGCTTCTGGCCCAAATACTGCACACGCGCGTGGTTTTACACCCGAACTTCCTCGCCAGTCCGTCCTGTTCGGTCGGAACCAGGTCTATTGTTCGGCATGTTAACGAGGCTGCGGCGCAGGGAGAGCCGTGTTCAGCTAAATGTCTCCGGTTCGGTCCGAAAAGGCCGTTTCGGTTCAGGGCAGGCGGTTCGGAGGTTGCCCGGTAGAAGCAGGACCAGGTGGTCCGTTCCGAGCCGTGCTGCTGTCGCGGTGGGGGGCTGACATGAATGCACCAGCAGCTCAACAGTACCATGTCAGCCGGTCCGGTGTGCCCGGACGCTTAAATACCGACACAAATAACGGATCCCGGACCGGTCCGGGATCCTGTTCCTGCTGGGGGGCCTTCCGGTCTCGCTGTTCTTGGTGATCCTGTTCAGTCGTGGAAAACTCTCTCAAAGTCTTGGATCTAACTCAGAGAAGGTTCTGGACCGAACGGATCCGGTCCAGCAGCTCTGTCTCCTCGTGGACTCGAGTGAAAACCAGCCAGAGACAGTAGGAGGACCAGCTGAGGGGACGGGGGTTGGGTTCTGGTCATAATCTCCAGAACCTTTCCAGGTGCTGGGATCCAGAACCACTCAGTTCTGTACTGAGCTCCAGATAAAAACCGCCAATGTTCTTCTGCTTTTGGGATGTAGGTGCTCCCTCAGCTGTCCAATCAGACCAGTCTGCCCTCTTTCTGAAATGTGGGCCTCGCTGCCACCCCAGCCAGGACCAGTGAGCTCTCCAGGGTCGGGGAGAGGACTGGTACAGTCTGAGACAACCCAGAGATTCGTCTGTGTGTGTGTTACCATGTTACAACTCATCAGAGTGTGTGTTCTGCTCAGACAGGTGTCCAGCTGACCAGCGCGTCCCTGACTTTTTACAATGAAACGGCTCCTTTGGATTATTTTTGCGCACTGATGTTCTGATTAGGGTTGTCACGCCACTAAAATTTCAAACTCGATTCGATACTGGGAAAAAAAACTGGATACTCGATTTCGATACTATTTAAAAACACCAATTTATTGAACAAGTTTATTCAAAAAATAACATTCCTCAATTTATATTGCAAAAATTAAATGTTAAGAATTAAGTGTGTAAAGTGCTTAAACCTTTCAAGTATCAGCATTTTTTAAAACGTGCGTACAAAAACTGGCGAAAGTTAACACTTTAAATCATGAATTGTCTCACTATATATACACTATTTGCAGAGTGATGTTTTGCTGCTTAAACTCTGTTTAAGGTGCATTTTTGTCATAAGCTGTAACGCCATATGTTTTGTTCTGTACTTTTGAACAACTCTGTTGGTCAATAAAGGGAGAAAACGGATTTCTCCACAGTAGGACAAAGGTACATCTACCGGTAATCTTAATAAAAACAGATTGGCGCACGGCAGTGACGTCATTAAAAGCGCCGGTTAGATTAGCCGCGGCTAGTCTGTTCACGCCTAGAAATCCCAGACCCGCTCCAAAAGAACAGGGGAATCATGATAATGATTCCTAATGTGGCAAGGTGGATAAACGAGGGCCCGAGCGGGATTCGATCCCCAGACTCCCGGGTGAGAGTCATACGCTCTAGCCAGTCAGCCAAAGGGACACCCCTTTTGGCAAGTAGCCAGGGCGCATGATCAATCGGGACACTGTGACAGGACGCTCACACTGTCACACTAACAAAACCTTTTGACATGAAGATGTTTTGGTGCAGATAAAGTCTTATTTCGAGGCTGCACCATGGGTGCCCGTCCGCACCCGTTATATGGATACACACTGATGGCGATTCGCCGATGGATCTAAATACCCCGGGGAATCCAAGTAGCACCAAAGTTGTCAGCTTGAGTAAACAAACGTACTGCATGCTAGAAATTAAGTCCGGGTTGCAATAAACGGGAGTTTCCTTTAAGCACATAAGCGTGAATATACAACTACGTGTCGGACTTGGTATACTAATTAAGTTGGGCTGTGAAGCGCCTCCCAAATTCACTGTTTATGTTTTTGTTTATTTATTTGGCAGACAAAACTTGGATCGGAGACAACTCGCGTGGGAAATTGCAATGTAGCCATGCGGCGTCTTCTTCTTCTGTTTGTCTGGGAGGCGGAGGCTGCTTTACGGCATCTGGCCGTCGTGCGTGCCGGTGTACTTGAAGAAGGCTGTGTATAATAGTCCATAATATCGATACCACAGGGATGGAATATCTTATTTAGATCCACTTTTAGCATCGATTTATATCTAGGTATCGATTTTTTTGACAACACTAGTTCTGATGCTGAAATAATTGCAGTGTGTGATGCAGCCCTGCTCGGGGAAAGGTACCACAGCATTTTGAGTCCTGCTGGGTTGGACCTGGGCACGGCCAGCTGCAGGTTCTGGTACCAGTATGGCTCTGTGGTGTGTGAAAGGTAAACGTGGATCACAAGAAAGAATATTTCTTTATTCTCTGATGAGATGAACACGTTTTTACAAACTCCTGGAATGTTTCCGATCAAACTGTTGACATTCACTCACACATGAAGAGTTCTCTTTGACAATTTTGTTAAAATTTATATGTAATTCAGAAAGTTACATATGTTTAATTTTATTAACCTGTTAAATCTGCCCACAAGCACCGAGACAGAGCTGACACATCTGGAAACGTGTGTTAAATATCCTGATTTAGATGTTACTTATTTAGTTTTGAACTTCATTAAACGTAGTAGAAGTAGAACCAATAGTTATGAAGTGTTAACCCGTCTGGTTTAAGCCAGATTCTGGTCTAAAGTGTTCTTTAAAGGGCCCATTTCTGGTCTGTCTCCATTAAGAGCACTTAGTAATCATGTGTCCTTTCCAGATGTTCATCCAGCTGCTTTGGTGAGACAAAGAGACTCCACAGAGAGAACAAACCCGCTTTTATTGCCATCTTGAAATTCTCCCAGGCTTTAGACTTATCCAGCCGGTGAAAACCTTTAAACACCGCTCGGAGATCAGCTGTCACCATGGAAATGAAAACTGGATTAATAAAGATTATGTGTCGTCTACTTAAACTGACATATATTATTTATCCTGGTCAGAGTCCCTGACTGTGACATTGAGGGTGATGATATTAAAGTGGCAATGTGTAGTTTTTTACCATTAATCTCTGGAAATATCCATCGAAATGTTGTAGTAAATTAATTACAAGATGCCCAGTTGTAGGGCTGCACAATGTATCGAAAAACTATCGTCATCGGGATAACAGGACGTGCGATAGGCCCATCGCAAAGCACGTCAAAAACGACGATAAATGTTTGGTTCAAACATTTCCATCCGTGTCATACATCAACTTTTTGTAAACCAGCTCTGTTTTTTACGCGGAAGTGTTATTTGACCAATCAAATGTAGTCCTTCTGATATGCGGCCAGTCAGATGGTTCCGTTCACGTAATACGCCCGCCCCCTACGTAGACCCTTAGGATGGAACGCAACACCCGAACTGAGTTAGCGGCGCCGTTCCCTTGTTCGTCTTGCTGGCTCAGAGCAATGAACGCACTTTGTGCTGATGTTTCTGGAATCAGCGCCGCTTTCAAACGTGAACGTGAGTCCGCTCGGTGTCGTTAATAATTTTTACCGGGCTGACTCCGACACGTGCCGGTGAACCAACCCACCTTCATGTCGCTAGTGTTAGCCCCAGGCTCCGGTTAGCTTCCAGCTAAAAGGCTACAGCACTCTCCTCCCAGTCCCACCCTGCTAAAGAGGGCCTGGAAAAGTTCCCCCACACATCAAAGTGATTGTTCATTTATGAGCTTTTATAACCAGTTATATCAGGATAGTTGATTTGCTGCTGCACATAAACTGTCAGTCAGAAGCTCTGCTAGCCGATTATCTTAGTTCAATTTGTTAGCTTGTTATCAGAATCATAGTTGCAGTTTCATCATCTGAGCTGCTTTTTAAGATCTAGGTAAACTTGTTCAATTTGGGGTTAAAAACAAACGTTTTCACATATTTTCTATGTAGTTTTTTTTTTTGCCAGTTCCTCTTCTGAAAGGTAGACAATTGTTTTTCTCTTTCCCTCAGAAAATCTTAATATTCTCCTAGTTTGGCCCAGCACAGTTCACTTCCCAATTACAGCAACAGCCTTATATCATAACCACATAAGTGGAGAAAATGCTCAGTAGCAATGAGAGAATTTGCTGTTGCATTTAAGTGATGTTAACTATTATTTAACATTTAAACTTATTTCAGATTTTTTTATTTATTCTAAAAACCCTGGTAAGGGATGTTTTTCTGTATTTGGAGCATCAGAAAGTTTTATGGTGGAGGTGATGTTTTAAAGTCACTGAAAAACTGCATGCATGCAGTTTGTTGTTCTGCTGCTAATACAGTAGCGGGTGCAGCTGCTAATACAGTAGCAGGTGCTGCTGCTAATACAGTAGCAGGTGCAGCTGCTAATACAGTAGCGGGTGCAGCTGCTAATACAGTAGCAGGTGCAGCTGCTAATACAGTAGCAGGTGCAGCTGCTAATACAGTAGCGGGTGCAGCTGCTAATACAGTAGCAGGTGCAGCTGCTAATACAGTAGCGGGTGCAGCTGCTAATACAGTAGCAGGTGCTGCTGCTAATACAGTAGCAGGTGCAGCTGCTACTACAGTAGCAGGTGCAGCTACTAATACAGTAGCAGGTGCTGCTGCTAATACAGTAGCAGGTGCAGCTGCTACTACAGTAGCAGGTGCAGCTACTAATACAGTAACGGGTGCTGCTGCTAATACAGTAGCGGGTGCAGCTGCTAATACAGTAGCAGGTGCTGCTGCTAATACAGTAGCAGGTGCAGCTGCTAATACAGTAGCGGGTGCAGCTGCTAATACAGTAGCAGGTGCAGCTGCTAATACAGTAGCAGGTGCAGCTGCTAATACAGTAGCGGGTGCAGCTGCTAATACAGTAGCAGGTGCAGCTGCTAATACAGTAGCGGGTGCAGCTGCTAATACAGTAGCAGGTGCTGCTGCTAATA